CCTCACACCTTCACTTTCACCCAACAATGTTTTTTCATTTCCACAACACAAAATATTAAAGTCCACAGTCCATAATAAACATCTTTGATAAGATTCATATATAAAATATATCTTTATATAATATAAATCATTATTAGAAGGTTAAACAAACTTAAAATCAAAACCTGCTTACCATCAACCGATAGATGCCACTTTTAAGGCAACTAAAGCAGGGATACATGTCTGTGTGTGCGTGTGTGTGTGTAAACTTAACCAAACTGCTTTCTACTAGATTATATTTAAATGCTGTCCCTCACTTACTGTAAAGACCAAACAGTGAACTTTAATACAAATGAGCACCTGCAGCAGCAACCACAGATGTCTGTGGGTGTTCCAAGAAAAAAAGAGAAATTTTCATAGATTATTTTGACAAAGATTACTTTCACACAGGATGGCTCATCCCTTCCAGATGCTGAGAAATAAATAAAGACTGCAGTTCAACACAAAAGAGAGCTGAGACCTTTCTGCAACAGAACAACGGCTACATTTAGAAAATGTCTGCGAGGGGTGGAATGGTAAATCTTCCATTTGAAAATGGTTGAGATAAATAACTCATACATTCAACCTTATTAAATGCAATTTTTGGAATTATGTAAAATAAACCTTTTTTTGCCCGTATCACATTGTTCACTTTCACATTTGACCAGAACCATGAAGAAAAACCTAACACCAATCCAATAAACACACATATATATCCAATAAAACCGATCCTTAACAACATCATCACGACTCAAAAATAAGCTTCCAAATAAACAAATTTAAATGTTGCCGACATGTTGCCAATTTCAAAGGGATTAACCGCAGTTTCATCTGGCGTTGAAACCAGATCGGCGGTCTTTTTTGACACGAGCGAGTTGGACTGTAGAAAGATCAGCTACACGCAGACGGGGCAGACAGACAGCGCTGGATGTGCAGACAGAGATCCCGCCATGTTCGAGCCGTTCTGAGATCTTAGCCTGGAGACAAACTGGGCCTGACTGACAGCAACACCGTGGCCGCTCCTTTTCAAGGCCTGTCTCTTCCACTTTGGCTTACCAGCTCTCATCTCTTTCTCTCCCTCTGTGTGATGCTGAACCCTGCTGTACGTCCTTCCACACAGATTTCTTTGGACACAAACTCATGTGTTACTTCAAATTCCTTCTGGTTTGAGCTAAATTTCTACTTCCTCCTTCCTGAGGAAAACGCAGGGAAAATCTATCCAAAAGTTAAAAGACGGATGAAACAATCTAGTGAATCTGTTCAGCAATGACACGAACTAAAGAGAACCAAGAGTGAAATGAGAAAATGAAACATATTATTAGTGAAGTTTGAGTTCACGGTACTCATCACATACTAATGACGACATGAAAAAAAAAAAAGGGCAAATGACCAAATGTCATCTTCAGCCAAATATAATCATCACTAATGACTATAAACAACAAAAATACATATTTTCAAGAAGCCACTATTTTTTGACGTTGTCACAAAGAGAACTAAAAGGAAATTAACGGAGGCCGCCGCCCACTAACAAACTGCTGTTTCATTTTCCAGAGTACAGATTTTTTTTAAACATCAGGCAAATTTCATCTGAATTTATACCATTTATTTTGCATGCACCAATATTAGGCGTACTGAGTAGCCTCATCTAAATTGCATGACCGCTGTAAAAACTGGATAATACAAGTCAAACTATGGCACAGCGATTACATGGTTAGTGTGTGTGTGAGCTTGTGTGTATTTGTGTGTGTGTCTGTTCAAACACACTGTGTGGTAGTGTGGGTGTGGCGTTACACCTCGTGTGGCACTGGGCAGCCAAGATAAGAGCTGATCCTATCCATGCCTCCCTTCTGCAGTGCCTACCCGCCCACCCACACACCCACACACCCACACACTCACAACACACACAACACACACACACCCACCCACACACACCCACACACAGGCCTAGTGTGGCACCCAACATGCCACTGTAATCTCATTTTATAATCCCGATTCCCTGAACATAAACACACACTCATAATCAGAGCCACAAACACAAGCGCAAACTAAATCCATATTTCACTTTGTCTGTACTGTACAGTGGTATTTAACTTACAATGATACAAAGGCCAGCTGAGGTCTGCGAACACACATGAATCTACAGAGAGAAAACACTCGTACCACAGCTTCTTGAGAAGAGAAGAGAAGGGGAAGTGCTTACCTTCCTCCTCTGAGAGAGAGCTAGCTAACCTTACGGTACAAACACACTCTTCTTCTCGAAGGTGAAACACACACAGACACACACACTCTGATGTGATCGGCCACCCTGATAGTGAGCCAGAGCTGACTCTAAGCCTCGAGCAAAGTTTGGTGAGCACTGACCAAGACCGAGGGGACAAAAAAAAGGAGAAAAAAAAAGAAAAAGTGTGACCACTGAGTGAAGTTTAACCACTTACGATTCAAGTTTAGCTTCAGCGAACCCCGCCTACACCCCGTATTCATTCACAGGCATGTACACACACACCTCTCCGGGTGGGAGAGGCACTGAGCTGGATTTTGGGAAGCCCTGCTTTTTCCTCTCTTGTTCCATCTCGCTGCTGCTGCATGGCTGCCGGACAGGCAGACGGCCCTCGCTCATCCCCCTTTTCTCTACTATCTTTTCTCTTTTCCTTATCCAGTGTCTCTACAGATCTAACCCACCAGCAGCTGCCTCTTTACAGCCAGGTGACAAGATAGCCACTCGGGCTGTGACATGTGTGTGTATGTGTCTCCATGCATTTGATAAAAACCATATTGTGAGGGAGCAAGAAAAGATTAGATTGTAAAAGTATGTGAACAAGTGACACCATGTAGGGGAGAGAGGGAGAGACCGAGAAAGAGGATGAAGGGATTCAATTTCTGCGGGGGAGAGGGGGGGACTAAGTGTAGTGAATGTGATTTGATGGTGATGCTGAGATGGGGTTTTGCCGTACAAATACTATTAGTCACTCCTGCGCGAACTTGTTACGCACACAGACACACACACAAACAAACACTAAAGGTGAAAAGGCAAGCGAGGCAAGAGTCGACACACAACATGGCCAGTAACAGAAAACAATCTTTACATTCATCCATCAGGCCTATAGGTTGTGGATGTAACGGTTACTGTCAAATTCATCACATTGGACTTATCTTACAATTCTTTTCAAAATAAAAGGGAATCTAATTCAGACCATATTCATATTTGATCTAATTCAAACCATATTAACTCTCCACCAGCAGAGAGTAGAGATTATCAAAACTGTGTCCCAGTTCTACAACCTCATCATTATGAAGTATATGGTCTTAACTGATTTTGTGGTTTATTTAATAGACGTGCACTGTTTTTGGTGAATTTGGCAGAAGTGATCTTTGTTCCTTTTTATATATATATAATTACCATGAAAAAAACTAAAACCAACAATTTGTGAACAAAAGCCATTCAAACTTTCTTACTTTCCTACCCTCAACCTTAAGGAGTAAATCTTATAAAACAGGTCACAAATATATACTTTCTTTTCCAGAAAAGGGCTCACACTTTTGGGTAAAGTGTTTTTAACAAACGCTCTTCAACCAGGGTAAGCTGGGGTGAATGGTGCACGACTTGGGGACTGTTTTCACCAGCGGATTAATACATATTCGGTGCTTAGTGGGTATTTACTGCAGCACGCCGGACTAAAAATAAATTATATTTAATTGTAATGAAATAATGTCACGTTATGAAACAATTAAAACATATCAATGATCCACACTGAGGCACAGAGCTGTAAGCTATTCCAGATTTCACAGACAATTCTTTTAAGAATCAATTACTATTTGGTTTTGGTATTTCTATGAGATTTATAACAGTAAGAAAAAAATTATGTTGCCCCTTTTTTCACCTAAAATCCCCTTAGAATGAGTGTGTGGTAGAATTGGGGCACAGCTCAGGACTGCTGAGGCTCTTCCCTAAAATTTCCTTGCTTTCATTTCCTTTTTTAATGAAAAAAAATCCTCCCCCATCCCTCCCACTTTAAGACCCCTTCCACACCACACCCATGGCCCCCCATGTGCAGACATGAGGTCAAGCTCCAAAGATCACAGAGAGAAGCCAGACGAAAGAGAGGGAGAAAGAGACACAGAGACCTAAAATCCTCCTTTCCTCCAAAAAACCAGGCCAAAAACCTCAAGCCTTCCCACCAACTCCAGACCCCCTCCTTTAGCCCAGTTGTGTGTCAAGGAGGCAGTGGGCACTCTTGCAGAAACATCAGCCCAGGGAAATTCAAATGAGGAAGAAACAGCGAGCGAGAGACAGAGAGAGGGAGACGGGGAGAGAGAGCACAATAGTGAGAAAATAGGATAAAAGAATGAGATGGGTGAGCTTTAGGTAGGAGGGAGGAGGAGGGGGGAGCTGGAGAGAAGCTGGAGAGGTTTGCTGAGGCTGCAGGTTAAGATAATGTGTAGATCTGAAGAGATTTGCCAGGAACATTTTTATTCATTTTTTGATTACTCCCATCTCTCCCAACCTCCCCTCCCTCTCCTCCTGCGTTGTTGTCTCTCCGTTTGTTTGTTTATGGCATTAGCGCCATGACTGTTGGTATGTGTGTGTATGTACACATGCATGCTGATTAGAAGGGGAATATTTTATAAACACAAATATTCACACTCGCACAAACCTGCGCGCACATATCAATACAGAATGCACACAAACATACTTAAAGATGGATCAGAGAAGAGAGCAACTGGGCAGACAGTGCCAGGAATGTTAAGAGCTTACAAATTTGTAAACATGCAGACGCAGATGCTGCGTATGTACATACAAACATGCACACACACAGATTGCTCCCAGTGCAGCTCAGCACTGAGACCACATTTATCAACGTGCTGCACGTTGGACAAGTGTTCTGAATGAGCTGGACCTCGCAGAATTACTCACGGCTTCTTTCAAATGCACAGAAACGTATCACAAAGCTTTCTACAGTGCACGCACGTACACAAAGACACACCTGTGTTGCCGTCAGACCCTCCCTCCAGGTTGAGTGAGATGGACTGGTCTTCGACTTGCTTCCCTCGGCCCAGGATCATCCAGTTCTCCAGACATTCTGAATCCGATGAATCTGAAGAATCAGACTCAGAATTGGACTCCGACTCTTCTGAATCCGATTCTGAGCTGCTGGAGTCAATGCTCACTGGCGTATCGAGACTCATCTTCCGTTTCTGGCCCTCCTAAATCCAAACAACAACCATATTGTCGATGTCAATACAAAACTTTCAGTTGCACCATATGCATCCATTGTTAATTAGAACAAAACAATATAACAGTCCATTCAGCCACTGTTTCGCATGAACCTTTTTTGCAGCGTGATACACGCACACGCACTTGGTCTATGCTCTGGTGAAGCAGAAAGTCATTCACTACCATGTCACCACTGAGTCAGCTAGCTGCAACTGCCCACTGGACAGTAGCTTGACAAAGTAGCACTCATCACTGTTAATTAAGAGTACAGGGAACATTAAGTGGCCTACTGGCTAATATTTGGTCAAAAACAGAACTTCAAAAAGTCTGTCTTAAAACAACATATAAGGCCATAGATACTAATCATTCCCCTGGACATTAACAGACCCCTTTCTGACAAACATCCAATTTGAATAGTGAAGGACAGGACCTAAAGTAAGAACTATAATCTGACTTTATCTAGGTATAGTTAGGTTACAGCAGTCTGAGTTACATAACTCAAAGTTACATGAGAGTTCCTCTCTTGCTTTTGCAGACAGCAATTCTTTGCAGAGCTGCAGAGGAGCAACAAAATTACATTCTGATGACTGGTAAACTCAGATATGTCTGACCTCATGCTTTACAATACAGAGGTGCAGAAAAAGGCCCTCAACCTTTAATAACTCCCATCAGTCAAAGTGCACTGATGAAGGTAAGAGATTTTTCTCCAGCTCTACCATCCGATCTATATTATGTAAAAGTAGCTTTAGCAGGAAAGAATGAATCAGCAGCCACAACTGCGAGAATGAGGCATCAGCTTTAACACTTACACTTGATGGTATGATCTAAAGGACACAGTCCTAAAGAGGAGCAGGTCTTCACTTGGATTAGACCATTAATCTTATTAGTTCTTTTTTATTACTGTGCAGAACATACTACATTGAAAAGAGGATTAGAAGTTATTCATAATCTTAAACAAAACATAAACAAAACAAAGTTTCATAAGCATCTTCGGTGATTTTTAGAAAAGTCATTATAAGGTCAAATATCTCCCTGGGAACACATTTAAAATTTTAATCCTTCATAAAAATTAATCGTATCCCGAAAATTTAAAAACTAAGTAAAATTTCAAAAGGATGTAAAAACAGAGAAAATAATGAGCATCTCTTCTTAATCCTCTCTTTTCCTCTCTCTTAATACTGATGTGGAGTCACTGCTGGGAGGATGGGCCGGGGGGGGGGGGGGGGGGGGGGGGGGTTGCTGTCACAGCCAAAATGTCAACAACATTTTTGGAATACATGACTGATTTGGTTTTACATTTTAGAAACAGCTTTACTTCAAGCTTCTTAATAACTTGCCTTTAGTCCAATGAGTAAATTGTGGCTGAAACATTGGGGTGATGATGAAGTCTGAGAACTTTTCTGCAAATGTACAGTTGAACAGGTGTTTGAATAATTTACTCTTATAAGGTTTGTAAAATCAATTAGATATTTAATTTAATTTTTAACTGATGGAAAATAATTATATGACCAAGACTGTAAACAAAGACAATTACATACATAGCAATCAAGCATCTCAATCGATCCTCTACCTGTTGTGCTGGGGTGGACGTCTGCAGCCGGTGAAAACCTTGACCCTTCATGATACAGACGCCGTCATCGTCAGCAGTGTCATCCTCGGAGATGGAGATAACATCTGGACTGGAGTCAATCACGATGACCTCCTCATAGACTGATGATGACCTCTGACCTTTAGGATCACTCTTCCCCTTCTTCTGCTTATCATTTTTCTCTCCCACCTTCTTCTTCTTCAGGAGTCGTTGTTTAGATGAAGGAAGTCCAAAATCTTCTGTGTGTTCCAGTTCTCCGTCAGCATCTAGAGTCACCTCCGGCGTCTCACCGCTGTCCTCCTGCTCCTCCATCTCCCCAGCATTTGAGGAGTAGTGGAGTTGGCTGTAGAGGCGGAACTCCACCTCGCTGTGGGCCTCCGACCCATCCGAGTCATCATTGTCTTCCTCTTGGTAGAGATCATCCTCCAACTCCTCACGGTCTTGATATGGAGAGTACATCACCCCAAAACACCCTCACACACTCACCAGCATCCACTCACACACACACACACACACACTCCAGGGGTGACGGTGGACTCATGGGCTGAAGCCGACTGCAGTGGTTAAAAGAGATACAAAAAAGGTTAGTAATCAACTCGTGACAATAAACTATTTATGCAGGTAATAACATAATACTGTATTAAACTGGTATTTAAAATACTCTTTTGTATGTTTAGCCCATTTACTATTAATAATGTACACTTAATATAGTTGCTCGTCATCTTAACTGTAATTTATCTGTAATCTATAAAATATCAGAAAATAAAGCACAATTTAAATCACAGGTTTCTAAAACCCAAAGAAAAAATGTATTTTAATTAATCATCATTATTATTAATTATAAATGTGTATTAATTACAGCCTCACTGTTATATACCCTTGCCAACCAATCAAATTGAAGGAAACACAATTTTCCCTTCTGGTCTTGAGTTACTGCTTTAAAAAGTGAATTTGCAGATTCGGATGCCACAGTGAAGTTGACCTTTGACCTTTTAGATATTTAATGTCGTTACCTCATCACTTCATCTTATCAGAAATTTGTGTCAAACAAGGTCATAATCAGTGTTTCAATTCTTGAGTTGTGGCCAAGAATGTTTTGTGAGGCCACAGTGACTTTTGACCATCGACATCTAATCAGTTCATCGTTGAGCCCAAGTGAACATTTCTTTCATCACCTTTGTGAGATACTGTGTTCATGGTTAGAACAGACGGACAACCTGAATATATCACGCACTGCCATCACTGACACAGACGCATAAAAATCTGACGCTATCTCTCAGTTACACGTTTGCTCTCAATATTTGCCCCAAAATCACAAGAACCCAGGATTTTTGTAGATCCTGAAGTCAATTCTATAATAATAATAATTGTTTCATCTATTAACACCTTTGTCTCTTCAGTCTCCAATTTAAAGTCATGGCTCAAATCTGAACTGTTACTGCCTTAATATGTTAAATATAAATCACTCATTTAGATGATTAATTGCTACAAAATAAATGAGCAACAGTGGTGATGATGATTAATAGTTTGCAATAGCAATTTGTTTTTAGGCAAAAGTGACAAACATTTGCTGCAACGAAAATTGTGAATGAAGGTGAATTTAATGCTTTTCTTTGGCACATGACAGTAAATCAAATATTTAGACAGGTCAGATGAGACCAGATATTTAAAAGATGTCACCTCAAATGTGAGGGTCTTTTCTTAAACTATAGCTATAGACAAAACTCATTGATTAATTGATAACAAAAATAATCTTTCGATGCTAACTTTAAAAAGTTGGTTGAACTATCTGGACAATGTCTACAGCAGTGAAGTAAGTGGACACGAGACAGCAGCCATTACAGGAAGGGCGCAGTTTTCAGTTTTGTTCTGAAATCCATAAGGGCTTGTTAACAAAGCTGAAACAGAGCATGGTTCAGTTGTGCTCATCTTTAACCTGTAAACAGCTTGGATCCAGGTCCATCATCTGACTGGTGCCGATTTCAAAATACACCTGACATGACATAATCTGGGGTCCACTTTGATTGACTGTGCTAGAAACAGTGAAATCATCCACTGATTACACTCTAAAACAAACTGGACTGCTAATTCTCCCAAGCTCTGTCTCTCTCACCCCCTCTCTCACACTCACACACAGACACACACTGAGCAGAGAGGGAGCATTGGCCCATTGCTCTGTCCAGTCCTGCGTGTCTGTGCCATGATGGTTGGAGATGATTGGCTCCCAGACCGCACACACGGTTGAAACGCCACGCTAGACAGTCACAAGCTGCCCACCGGGGATTAAAGGGACAGAAAGAGGAGCCTGGGGTGAGGGTGTGCGACAGTTTTGAAGTTAAGCAGCGCACATGGACCTGGACCTGACAAATGACTGTGTCTTACAGCGGTGGAATTTAAAGTACTGGACAGTCACGGTCCAACAATAAAGGTGTTTTCAGTCGCTCTAATTAAAGCCCGGCTCAGGAATATGTGAGTGTATGTCCACACACACAAACTGTACTCAACATCTTCATATCTCTTCCTGTTAGCTCGCTTGCATCTGTAGAAATTGGTTCTCTCACATCTGAAACATACATTTCTGTGTTACACATTTTGACATGTTCCACTTGAAAAAGCACAGGTGTAAATTATAGAAGTACCTCCTGAATACTTATACGAGTATCGGCCTCAAACATCCAGCATTGATTAGACTATCCTTTACATTTATACTCCACTGCATTTCAGGGGGGAAATTGGAATACATTTATTTTTCAGCCATAGAGACATGCTGCTTTGCAGATTGAGGATTTACACGCAAAATATAATGTTATTGATTAAACTACCCAAAGGAGTATGATGCAGTTAAAGGCAGTTTCATCTTGACCATCAACTTTAAAGTATTGCTTGTATGTAATGAGTCAATAACAAGACAATCATTTTAAATACTGACAGAGGTCCTTCTACATAATGAGTATTTTTATTTGGGATCATTTAAGCATATTTTGTGCCTAAATCATCTGTTCTATTAATTTCAAATGAAGGATTTTAATTGTAATGTACAATTTTTTATTATTTCACATTCACAACGCTTTCCCACAAAACCCTGACCTCTCACATTCAAACAGCTCTGGATAACATACAAATATTCTCTGCTCCTTTTTGCCTCAGCTGTTGCTCAAGTTTGAGTCCTTCTCCACATTCTGAAGCTGCTTCCGTACCGCCAAGATCCCCCAACCTAATGAAACAGCTACTGGCTCATTTCAGAAGAGTTTGCTTTACTTGTTACAGCATCTTTTACAACCAAGTGCTTTATTTAGTCTTGTATTTCTACTTCGTCTCAGTTCTTTTTTAACAGTTTGACTTTTACATCAGTGTGTTGTTTCTACAGTTTGCTGCTTATGACAGAGTCATAATGTCACCACCAGTGATGTTAATGTCACCTCTTCAAAAGGAATGATTTAAACACCATTTCCTTTCTTGGAGAGATGGAGGGATACAAAATCCATGGAGTCCAGTCCCCCTGAGCAATAGTCCAGACTGGGAAAGCAGCCCAGACGCTGTCTAAAAGAAGGGACAGAGCAGATGCTACTTCATGAAGCAGCTTATCTCCTTTTAAGAAGTTCCAGATCTTTTACCAGCCTGTGGTGACAAGTGCAATGTTCTTCACTGCATCAGAGCCAGTGACACAACAAACTGTTGAACATCATGCAGAACATGTCACATCCCCTCCACAGCTAGCTGGTCAAAAAGCAGAGCATGTTCAGTAGGAGATTTCTGGAGCTCGCAGTGTGACAAGGAACAGTACAGGACTTTGTTCCTGTCAGCTTCCATCACAATCATGTGCAATGATTCACCACTTCTTCTGGAGAGCGGACACCTCTGATGACAAAGCCTCTTCTTCACATCAATACAGATGAAAACAGATACAATCGGTTCTATATCCAACTATTGAATCATTTATTCATACATTGAATGCACACTGTGACATCAGCTGGCAATCCCTATTAACCTGCACTACTGTACAGTGTATGTTTGATTCACAGTAGAGTCTAGTTTGAGTGTCAGTCATCAGGAGGGGTGACAGGGAGACTTGTTGGATAAATGCATTGTTTTGAAGATGCAGTGTTCTGTTGTTTGGCTGCTCAAGAGAACACAGACTGAGTAAAGGGACAGACTGAGGTCCGGAGGACACCGATCACTGGCTCACAACAACACAAATAGCAGAAATCTCCCTGTGTTACTCAAGTAATGATTAACTCAGACTGCAGTTAGCCTGGTGCTAGCTGCAGCTAGGTTAATGCTAACCAGCTAGCATGCAAACCGAGGCTCGCGTTAGCTCCGTGTAAATCCGTCGTTACGCGTCTAAACATCATTTCGCCCCGAAACACAGACGAACTCAAAACTCGTCCCAGAGCAGCGATAGTTTCGGTTTATTCCCACATGTCGACAGGCCGAGGTTAGCATGTGACCCTCCAGTGTGTCCACGTGTTTCTGAGCAGCCGGTCGGATGTAAACAATTGAAGTTAAACCACGAAAGAAATGAAAGAAACACGCGGAGCCTGAGTCGCTTTAGTCCCAGACTTCACTGAAGAGGGTTCAGATTAAGTGTCAGAAAACAGGAGCTCACCTCTGTGAGGTAAAGAGGAGAGGTTGGCTGCTCCTGCTTCTTCCATCCAGAGGGAGATGGACAACTACTTCCGGGTTTGTCCTTCGTAAATTGGTTGGTCGACCATAACGTTTCACTGGGTTTCATTAGACGAGGGCTCAAATGTCGAGAGTAAAGTAACAAAGTAAACACATCAAATAACAATTCAATAGAATTGTTATTTTTTTTACTTTTATTTTATTTATTGCTTTTGTATGGAATTAAAACAGCAGTACAAAACCACATCGGTTCTACGTAATATTGATTCCACAACATGTTGAAAACATTTTGCCCCATGATAATTAGAATGCATCATATTATTTCTGCAGAGCTTGGCAGAATAGTTTCTGCTCCTGCTTACAAACTACCTCAGCATTAACATTAAATCTCAGTTTGTTGTCAGTGATTGTTCCAAGATACTTGTTCTGTTCAGCAAATTCAATGCCAATGCCCTGAATGAAGGACTGCAATGGTGGGTGGGATGGATATCCTCTAAAATCAATTAAAAGTGTCTGCAGTGTTAGTTGTGACAGGCCTAACTACCATATCTCAGAGGTGCTCGGCTGGTCTCAGATCTGGTGGGTGGGTGGGCTCTACTGAAATACCAGTTTGTGATGACTTTTGCCTTGTGCCACAGTGTGTTGTCACGCCAGAACTAGCCATGCAACGATGGTCAAATTGTGGCCATAACAGGATGCACATGGTGAGCAACAATATTCAGAGTCTGTGACATTGAGACTATGATTGACTGGTATTAGGGGCCCAAAGTGTGCCGGCATTCCTCACACCATTACACCACCAGCAGCCAGGGCTGTTCACAGAGAACAGCTTGAGTCCATGGATTCATGCAGCTGACATTAAATTTTGCTGCTACCACAGAGCTTCAGCAGAAATTCAGATTCATCAGACCAGAATAAGTTTTTCCACTCTTCAACTGTCCAGATTTGTGAGTCTGCACCCACTGCAGCCTCAGGTTTGTGTTGGTGCCAGACAGGACTGGAACACCTGCAGTATTCTGCTGTTGTTGCCGATGTTGTCGTTGCTATTGCCACATGACTGGTTGATTTAATAATTATTGATAAGTATGTGTACAAGGGTCCCTAACTGGTGAATAACTGAGCAGATTAGGTCACTAGGGCAAATACACAAGTTCACAAGTTTTTTTCTTCAGAAAGTTAGAACACATTAATCAAAAGTTTGTGGGAGCCTCGACTGGTGTGCGAAAGAAATGCAAATAAACAAAACAAAGCAAAAATGACCAGCAACAATGAGTCATCATTTTATTGTGTCTCTTGTATAAACATATATTTATGGAACTCTGTGTGAATGATGAAAAGACTAATAAAAAGCTACAAACTAATTTTTATTTGTTTGAAGACATTAAAAGTCCTTGTGATATGTGTTGACATTACCTTGGTGTCTCCAGAGGTGTTTTGGTATGTTCAGAGTCTGCATCTATACACTGCTTGTTTCATGAATATTGGTTTCATCCCCCATCAGCATTATAATATCAAAGGCATCCTAGCCAACTGTTCTGCTGTGATGTGGAGTTCTTCTAAAATTGTAGGATTACCAAACAGTTTCATCAGGTAATTTCTCAGTTCATAATGTCTCTCCCTCCCTCTCTCACTCTCTCATTGTTGAACGTATACTCTGATAATAAAATGTCATTATTGACATGGAATTGTAAACTGGACTTCTTTACTTCTGAGCTCACGTATCTCGTTCTGCAGACAAAAGGTCCAGCGGGGCCTCGCACTGTTTCTCAATGCATTCACTATATTGTCAGTCTGATGGATGCCCGGCATTTTCACCTTTCTCAATGAGGCACAAATATTAGTTATGAAATGTCAGAATATGTCTGTGTGCACACTGGGTGTGTGCATGCATGTCTGAGTGACTAGTATGGACCTTCAGGCCTGTGCTATTATTACATGTTGATGGGAATGTAAATCTATATGTAAATGTAATTCAACAGTCTAGCTATCGCCATCAGTCATATTTATAACACATAGCAAAATTATGGCATCCTGGCACTCCTGCACACTGTGTAACATTAACATCCATCTTTTCCTCCTTCCCCATATCATGAGAATAATTGTGAACTCTGTATAACCAACTATAAGCATCAGCATTGTAATGATAGTGAGCGGATGGCGCTTTGATAGCGATTCAGAGAGTGAATGCCATCTGATTCCATGGGTTTCTCCATGCGTGTCAACACAGGAAAGGCCATCATGGAGTTGGATTGTTTCCTTCCAAAGGTTAGGCTGCACCACATGTCTCAACACTATCACCTCGTTTAGCCCATGTATACATCTGACACACACACATACACACACTCAATATCCTGCAACTGTTTTGTTTTTGGGAAGTGCATACGGGGGCCCCTCTCTGCCTCCCCTGCTCCCCATATCTCTCTAAATTGGATGCAGGTTTGGGATGCCTCAATGCCTCAGTGAAATTGTGATGTGTCTGCCTGATTTTGGGTTCCATGCATTTGCCGGTATTTACTATTATTATTTTAAAAAAGGTGGAGGAGGCCGTCTGAATGGAGGCGTCTGGTTCAGCAGTTCATCTCCGAGTGTCCAGACCAGTGGCGTGTTGAAGATGGATGGAGTGTCTGGGACAGGGATTTAAAGTCCCCTGATTTCCAATCACACATTCCAAAGGGATGGTTCTGCCTGATGAATGATCTTTATTGAAGAGTAGGAGTTAAAAGAAGCATGTCATTGCTCTCATTTGAAGGTGTTTTTATGTGCCACAGTAGCTCCTGCTTCCATTTGGCACCAGATGCTGCAGCCAGCACTGCGATGGAGTGTTTCATCAAAACAGGATTCTCATCAGCTGCTGTGTTGTATTGGCAATGGTCTCCAACGGATGGCCATCGGTTTACACAAGTGCTCATCTGAAGACTATAGGATTAAGACTTAATTATGGAGTGTTTGGCTATTTATTTATATTATTTTCATATTATTTTCTAACTGCTATGTGTTTGATTTGGGACAGTTCAGTTTAATATATACCTCTTGTACAAAACCCACAATTCAAAGAATTCTGAGTAAACTGTTGTTTTCTTTGCCTGAGGTGCATCTTCAAAAATGATGAAACCTAATCCAGCCAAGTAAAATTATATTATGACTATTTAGATATATGATTTATCTCATGTTAAAGTAAAAAATATCAAGATTTGGTGATGCCATCAATCTATAGCCAGACGAATCTGTCTGTCTGTCATTTGACTTTCTCGTTAACTTTCACAGTGAATTGAGTTTAAGCCTGGCGGGTGTATAGATGAGAACCAAGTGTCGATGGATGGTAGGTTCTGAAATTCCTTCATTTACTTTTAACTGTAAATGGCACTTGCTGTCACCATAGTAACCACATTTTCTATTGAAATGAGACACAACCTTTTCATTGTTCTTTTTTTTTTGCAATTTGAGGACACTCCTTAGACCAAAACCCTGATTAACCATGACAAAAGTCTGTAGATACATAAAAAGATTCATCAAAAATGTGAATGTTAGTTGCATCTCTAAAACCGATTGTCTGAGCATCTGCTCGGATGCAGATTCTAGCCGTTGTTGCATCAGCTTGTTTCAGTTCTGTAAGTGGAAGTCTGCTTCGCTTTCTGTCGTTGGTGCAGACTTCCTTGTTACTGTATGTATGTAAATATAACCAGGCCCCGGTATCAAAGCAACCAGGCAGGAGGAATTCCCTCTGAAAAAAAAAGACTCGCCCTGGATCAGCGCTTCTGAACAAAAATGGCTCCCATGCATCACCCATATGGGGCCCTCTGTGCCGGAGTCATTCACATGTACCGGATGTACAGCATTTGTTAACCCAAACTCCCATCACCATATTTTCTTCTGCACCAAAGCGACCCTGTCGTCGCTCTTCGGGGAAGGTTTGATCTTTCCAGTTGCTTGTCATAAGTGCTTTATTGTCATTAATTCTAATTGATATCACAATTAGCTTTGTAGAATAAGACACCCAGAGAGGTTCAGTAGATTCTGAAGTCAATATGCTAAGTAGAACATATACCAATATAATAATCATAATCTTTTAATAATCAGTGATTCAGCTCAGATGCAGGAAAAAAAAATATAAAACACACACGCACTCAAAATTCTGCAGCCTGGTTCCTTTACTGTGCACCTCCCCTCTCTTTCTCTAGGGCCTTTTTCACACATAGGACATATAGCATTGCTGGGATCTACCCCTCAACATCTTTTTAAACCACTTGCTTTGATATGATGTGTTTTTTTCCCCCAGTCTTTCTCCCCTTATTACAGAGTACACATAAGATGATGTTGAAATTAAATGGTGACTGTCTTAAACCAGTGGTCCTCAACCTGTGAGTCTGGACACCCAAGGGTTCCAAGAGACTATTCATATATTATTCTATCAACATTTAATGAAGGGATAAGAACTGTTAAATAATTAATGTGATAAGAAAGAAAAAAACATTTTTTAAATATCTGTTCCTATTTTCTTGTTGCATTATTCCTTTATAATTCTGGATTATACAGTACTCTAATAATGATGAATTATAAAGCAGATGGTTAATAATATAAGCAGATGGATGTGAATATCTGCTTCTCAGATTTTGTCAGATAAATCAAAGCACTGTAGAGGCATAAAAATCAATGAGTCAATCCCTCTTCATTGTTAACATGGGCCTGAACTAAGAGTTTACGTCCAGGCCACGTTCAAGTGCGACGAGAGGCCACATGTAAACTTCTTTTTAATCAAACCAGTAGTTTTTTCCCAAACTCCGACCATTTCTGTGGAGAGTCTGACAGTCACAATTCAAACTACCTGAACTACTCACACAGACTCACACACACACACTGTGATCAACAGTCAGTCAGAAAAGACTAGAACAAGAGAACAAGCCTGATAACACCTTTTCAGAATGGACCAAGTGACTTGTGTCTTTGGGGATTAAATTTGTGAACAGAAGCACACACACACACACACACACACACACACACACACACACCAGCACCACACGGTGCCACAACACCTCTTTCTCAGCTGCAAGTATAAAACCACATTGACAGGAGCCTTGTCGGCTCTTGTTGAAT